GACCTTCTCGCCCGCTCCGGGCGGCCCGGCCCGCTGCCGTCTCCGCGGGGGCTGCAGTCACGGCCGCCCAGCCGGAGGCGAGCTCTCCCTTCTGCCCCTGCCGCGGTGGGGTGAGGCCTCGGAGGTCTTCGGGCCTCCCACACCGTGTTTTGTGAGTTCACCGAGTCACGGGTTTTGTGTCCCGCTGTCCTCGCTGTCTCACCAGTTCCGCGAAAATCCTCAAACCGGGAGCTTTCCCAAAACCTTCATGTTTCACTGGGTGGAGTACCGGGTACTTTTACAAGTTGACCTTAACTATTAGTCCGTGTTGGTGATAGTGTGAGATGGCTATGTAGTTACCGTTTAGGATCTTGATGTTCAAGATCCTGTTGTGGAATTTCCTTATTCCTACATCCTCTTGTGACAGCACTTTATAAAGTTGACTTAAAGCTGTTCGGTTAGCTGATCATGATGAACCTTGTCTTATTCGTATATATATGCACACACACAATGTTAATGTAGCCGTTACTTTGAATTCTGTAGACTGCTTGTAGTGTTTCTGTCAAACATGGTCACCCTTAAATCGCTGATGGACAATTTCAGCCACAGCTGAAAAGGCTTTTCTGATCCTAAGTTTCATTCTCTAACTCTGTATTTTAAACACTGGAATACCAAGTTAAAATGGATTTGTGCTTGGTTTGTATCTCTGGAGATCCTGAGACTACCGGCTGCTTCTGTATTTGCAACGTTGATTCAGAAGGGTGCAATAGTGACAGAAGCCTAAAGAAAAGAGTGCAAATAAGAGCAAAAGAGCAAAGATCGTAAGCAATAAGTGCTTTGGAAGTATAAGGGTTTACCTTGCAAACTTAGAATTGTTCTGCTTGTTTTGTTAAGACCACAGTGGAATTGAGACAGCATAAGGATCCCCTCCAGCAGTGATATTTAAGGCTAACATGCAGGTTTTGGACCTTTCGAGAGATGAAGTTATGTTATGCATAATTGAGAAAATATGTTTAGGATACTGCTGTTATTAGGACTGCAGTAATAGTAAATTGGATGTTATAAGGACACCATTTCTGGTCTCAGTACCTTTCGCAACCGTGGCGGTCAGGTGCAACAAGCGTGGGTAATTCAGCTGTAGTGTGATTTACTCTTTACTTGAGTCATCTCTTCATTATTTTTTATTCAGTTCTCTTTAACTGAAAGTTAAAGTCTAAACTGCCTATGCTATTCCACTGTCAGAGTATAAGGATAAAGAAAACATGAATGTAGTTGCTAAGTGTCATAGAAGTTTGATTTTGATCTCTTGTTCTAATAGGTGAGTTTACGTTTAAGCTCTGAAAAATGTGTTCTGTGTATGGAGTAAGCATTGCAGATTTCACTCGTTAATACTTCAATAATTAATTTTCATAACAAAATAGGCACAAATTTGTACAAAAATGTAAACTTTGTACAAAACGAAAACGTTTAGTCCTTGCTTTAACTGCAAAAGGGTTGTCCATCTCAGTAATAGGATTGTATTCATAAAGCTTTAAAATACAAAAGTTTGCCTGCCTCGTGAAAACCTGTATTGTAAAAGCGTTTCTTTATTAAGTTTTGCATCTACTCAGTCTTATTAAAAAAATGCATAGGTATTACTGAGACAGAAATAAGAAATGAGATTTTTGGCAGGAGCATTGTAACAAAGCATATATTTGCTTATTTTAGGGCATGATATCCACTTCCATGATAAGAAGATTGCTTTACTGGAAGCTGGTCCTAGGAAAGAATATGATCGCATGCCGGACAGTTACAGTAACAGGGTCAGTTCCATCTCCCCAGGATCAGCAACCCTCCTAAGCAGTAAGTATGACTTCTATTGTTTGCATTTTTAGCAGTGTATTTGAGTTCATTTTTTATTTTGTCTAAACAAAACCCCTTTGAGCTTGTGCTGCCTTCAGCCTAAACTCAACAGAATTATTTGCCTTTGTCTCCTAGTATTCTGTATGGTGAATTGTGGTGATTATATCAGGCTTCTCTTGATAACAGGGATCTGTGTTCTGGTATCTTCGTCTGATTTGTTATATAAATATTTGTGACATTAGGCTGGTAGAAGTTGTAAGGTGCTCTCTATAGCATCTGGAATGTTCTGCTCACAAAAGAAGCACCTACTTAGTGCTCTGTAGTCTGGTAACTCACTTCTGATTAGTTTTCATTTTGGAAAGAGATTTGAACTTTGATTCCTTATGGAGAAAGAAATGTTCTAAACAATGATGGCTGTGTGTTTTTGTGGTTTTTTTATTACTCGGTGACAGGAAGTGAGAGTTGACTGTTAAGTCACAGCATTCATGGAAGGCTCTTGTTTCTTTTCTGCTGGCTTGTGTTAACAGTAAAGTAATGTGATGCTGAAGCTGTGAGAGTATTGAGGCAGACCTGGCCCTGTCTAGGGATGGTGCAAGCAGAGTCTGGGCATTGATAGTCAGGGCGGGAGAAGGAGGGTTTGGAGTGAGCTTCAGTTTTGTTTGGGTCTCAATGTCATATGTGAAAGTGTATCTCCATGCATTTGTGTCCTTTTTTGCTTTTAGGTTTTGGTGCCTGGGATCAAGTCTGCAGCCTGAGACTCAAACCGTTCCGGCGAATGCAGGTGCCTTACTTAGGACTACAAATACACTATGTGTCTGTCTACTCTGAATTCTCAGAAGTACTTACATTAATGATCCAAAGGGTTTTTTCTTTGGCAAAGGGCAGGTCATGCTTATGATGATTCTTGTTACTTTTTTTTTGGAGTAGCAGTCTACTCGGAAATACCCGTCCTCAGAGTCTTGATGTTACAGGATGAAAGGTTGATTCCTGATGGAAGCTGTAGATATTAGGTACTAGTCAGGAAATAAAGGTAAAGGTGTGTATTGGTTTTGGCTGGGATAGAGTTAAATTTTCTTCATAGTAGTTTGTATGGTGCTGTGTCTTGGATTTGTGATGAAAACTGTTGATGACACAGGGATGTATTGGCTATTGCTGAGCAGTGCTTACACAGTGCCAAGGCCATCTGTTTCTTACCCCACCCTACCAGTGAGTAGGCTGGGGGTACGCAAGAAGTTGGGAGGGGACACAGCTGGGACAGCTGACGCCAGCTGACCAAAGGGATATTCCATACCAGATGACGTCGTGCTCAGCGATAAAAGCTGGGGGAAAGAAGGAGGAAAGTGGGACATTTGAAGTTACGGCATTTGTCTTCCCAAGTAACTCTTACACATGATGGAGCCCTACTTTCCTGGAGATGACTGAACACCTGCCTGCCAATGGGAAGTAGTGAACAAATTCCTTGTTTTGCTTTGCTTGCACACATGGCTTTTGCTTTACCTATTAAATCTTAATCCATGAGTTTTTGCACTTTTACCCTTCCGGTTGTCTCCCCATCCCACTGCTGGGGAGTGAGTGAGCAGCTGCACGGTGCCAAGCTGCTTGCTGGAGTTAACCCACAACAAGATGGTAGGGTAGCTTTATGTGTTCATTATGTAACAGGAAAGTAGGGATAAAAAACTTTCTTTGCAGTTAGGTTTTGAGATTAAGCTAGATCGTTGTATGAAAGGAATTATGTGATGTACTGTAGTAGCTGGGAATGGATGGTAATCCAGGACGTTTCCTCTAGTTCTGTATTTCTGCATCCTTTTCCATTAAGAAGGATACATTCATAGTCCCTGAAAGGAACAACATTTCTTTATCATGTAGCTTCATGTAATGTATTTTTTCTTCATAGGTGTGGGATGCTTGTTCAGAAGCCATGATCGTTTTTGAGAAAGATGACTTAGATGACATGGGTTACATAGTGGAGAATGATGTCATTATGTCTGCTCTCACAAAACAGTTAGATGCAGTAGCAGGTAGTGGACTACTTCTTTAATATTTGATTTTCTGCAGAGAGCTTTCGGTTATTTGCCTTCTGTTGTGTGCGCTAAATTATGAGAGAGAGAAATTAATCTACAAAGTAACTCTGAGACATAGGCAGCTTCTTGAATTGGGGCAAGGGGAGGGAGAAATCTGGCTTCCAAAGGCTACACAGCAAGAAAGCAGTTGCATATGTAGTTCCCCAGAACATAATCTCTCCAAAAATAGACTTAATGAAAAGATCTGTAGCTTTCTATCCAGAGCAGGCCTTGCAGTGACAAAGGGTTGGCCAGGTCTGTTCTTTCAGGGTCCCTTGAGAATTGTAGGGTCAGCTCTTAGGGTGCCAGTAAGACATGTGTGGCCTTGCTGTTGTAGCAGTGTTTCCTTTTCTTCATGTCTGTATCATGCTGTGACCATGGTACTTTGTGTTCCCATCAGACCGGGTGGAGGTTTTCTACAGGAGCAGAGCAGTCGGGTATACCTGGCCCCTTCCCTCTCACAGCTGTGACACAAGCCCTTGGGTCCAAATTGAGTTAGCTGATGGACGCAGACTTCAGACCAAACTACTGGTAACTAAACTTTTTATTTCTGTTGATCAGGCGTCATCTCTCACCCAAGTCCTTTCCACTGGATTTGGTTCTGATTCCGTGTGTGTCGCTCCACCCACGTGGAGGGCTTGAGTGAGGTGAGTGGCTAAGTCTGTCAGAGATGCTATGGGATGCAGTGCATAGCCTTTTCTGTACCTGATGCGAGAAGACTGTGCTGAATTGGACAAGAGCAAAAGGGGCCACCTTTTCTTTGTTTGGGGGAATTTATTTTTTTTTTTTTTCCCCTGAATTAAACAAAAATGTGTAAATGCAGGCTGAGGTTTGTAGACTGGAATACTGGCTTTCTTAGGAGCTGCTGAAGAGGTTGCTTTGTATCTCTTTGTGTTGCAGATTGGTGCGGATGGTCATAACTCTGTAGTCCGGAAGGAAGCTGAAATTAAGAACATCGAGCATCGGTATGACCAGTCAGCTGTGGTGGCAACTCTTCATTTGTCTGAGGTGAAATTCTGCTAATTGACTCTTCCATAAGCAGCAGAACAGCAGCCAAACAGCTTAAGCAGGTGTTCCAGGTCACTAGTTCGTAACTGTCCACTTGCTGCTTTCCACTGTAGGCCACAGACAATAATGTAGCATGGCAGAGGTTCCTTCCCACAGGGCCAATTGCACTTCTTCCGGTAAGATGACTTGTGGTCTCTGTATCTTTTGTGGGTATTGTTTTTTGGTTTGGTTTTTTTTTTCCATCCATTCTTTTCTAGTAACTTTATTTCTGTCTGTGCCTTTCTGTCTTGGTTCTGTCTCTTAAGAATTTGTCCATCTGCCCTTTGCTTTTCAGTTATTGTATTTGTTTTCCCCTCCTGCCCTCTCACTTTATCCTTGGTATTTCCCACTTGTAGCAAGTTGGGCTGGATGAATAATGTGCAAAGGGACTGGTATGGGGCAGGGCAGTGGGGAAATTTTTGCACTGATCGTTTATTTTTACTTCTTTTTCTCTTGATACTTACCCTTGACATTCTCTTAAACTAGCTGTCTGACACTGCCAGCTCTCTGGTCTGGTCTACATCTCATGAACATGCATCGGAACTTCTCGCTATGGATGAGGAAAGTTTTGTTGGTAGCATCAACTCTGCCTTTGTGAGTATCAGCCTTGTGGTGGGTCAGAGGCTTTGTTGTAATCACGAGAAATACAATGGAACCCTAGAGCTTAAAGGATAGTAATGGAGAGATAGATTCTCAGGTTGCTTCCTCTGGTGAGGACGATATTAAAAAGGCACTTGGCAAAGAAAGGATGACTGCATTATGTTAGTTCTGAAAATCACAGAAGTTGTTGAACTAAATTTCCAAAAGGTGGGAAAGGTAGGCTATTCCTAGTTTGAAACTTGTATGTCCTAAAATGAAGAAGGTAGTTTTTTTTCTACTGTATAGTTTTGTCCAAGTGGTTAAAATTCAGTATTTGGAGCTCATTCATATTTTTTTTCAACTGGATTATTTTGTATGTCTAGTTTGGGTTAACATCTAAAGATATTTTTTTTTTTTTCAGTGGAGCAACGTAAACCACTCTGACTTCATTGATGCTGCTGGGGCCATGTTTCGATCTGCTATTTCACTCCTGAAGCCCTCGGGGACTGCAGTCCGTCAGCTGCCCCCAAGCATTGCTAAAGTAGATCCAGAGAGCCGAGCCATGTTCCCTCTTGGACTGGGGCATGCGACAGAGTATGTCCGGCACCGTGTGGCTCTTATTGGGTAAGATCCCCAAGCCCTTGTGTGAGTGGGTGGTGTGTGGTTAGAAAAAATGCAAGTATAGTGACTCTCAGTCAACAAATTGGATGTTTAGAAGTAATTTATAGTTTCAGTTTGACTTTATCCAGGCCCAGTTTGTACCGTGTGCTCTTGTGCCAACAAAGTCCTTTTGTGTGAGTAGCTCTCTGTCCATTGTGTGTGCTTTCTATGTAAATTGTGAGATAATTATTTCCCTTTTCTGGTTTGTGTAGTCCAGTAAAACAATCCAGTATCTCATGCTGGACCTGTACTACCCCAATGTCACCGTTTAAGGCTGGGCCGGCTCTTAAAACAGGTGGCAGACGCTCTCTGTTAACCCCCTCCCTCCCCCCAGGAGGGGAAAGGACGGAGAAAAGGGAGAGAGACTTATGGATTGGAAATTAAAACTACTTTAATAATACAACAATAATGAAAAAAAGTGTAAGGTATTAACTAGTAGTACTAATAGTGGAAATAAGGAAAAGTATACAAAACCGATCCTGAGTGTCCCGATGACGGTGGGGGATTGCAGGCCGCAGGCTGTAGCCCCCAGAGGCTCAGCCACTGCCGCAGCCGGGGGGGGACCCGGACGTCCCGGATCCGGC